AAAAACATTTCGATTATTCACCGCAGACTCAGATATAGTGAACATCTGCAGTCAACACAGTATTAAAGTGTCTGTATATTTACAATGAGAATACACATTTTAATCATTAGATGAAAAGGTTGAATTAGCAGTGTACCTAATCAACAAATAAAGCCACCATGATTCAAAAACTTGTTAGCTAGAGAGATGTTTGTTGCTAAGAGACAATTTTGTCAGATACTTATAGGATCAGATTGTGACTTCCATCTACACTGTAAAAACAGAACATTTGTGGTAGATTCTTTAAAAAGCTATGCCTTAAAACTTACCTTTATTGATGTAACCTAATCAGTGTTGGGGAATGTTAGGTTATATTATATACAATACCAGTCAAAAGGTTTAGAACAGTACGATTTTCTGTTCACCAAGGCTGCATTTATTTGATCCAAAATAAAACAAAAACAGTAATATTATCAAATATTTTTTACAGTTTAAAATAACTGTTTTCTATTTGAATATATTGTAAAATGTAATTTATCAAAGCTGAATTTGCAGCATCATTACTCTAGTCTTCAGTGTCAAGAAACATGTCTGATTATTATTAATGTTGAAAACAGTTGTGTACGATTCTTTGATGAATATAAACCGCATTTAGCTGAAATAGAAAGATTTTGTAACATTATACTGTGCAAAAGTTTGGGGTCAGTAAGATTTTTGGAAAAGAAATAAGAAAAATTAATACTTTAATTCAGCAAGGATGCATTACATTGATCAAAAATGACAGTAAAGACGTTATAATGTTACAAAAGATTTCTATTAAACAAAATGCTGTTCTTTTAAACTTTGTATTTATCAAAGAATCTTGAAAAAAATGCTGAAAACACTGGAATAAATTACATTTAAATATATATTCATATATAAAACAGTTATTTTAAATTGTAAAAATATTTCACTATTAATGTTTTTGTTGTATTTTAGATCACATAAATGCAGCCTACAGGTGAGCAGAAGAGACTACTTCAAAAACATTTACAAATGTGTTTTAAAATGTTTAAGACATTTTTAGGAGAGGTTTTATTATTGAGATAACTGGGGAAATTGTCCTGAATTAACCCTATATTATATTATTTTCTGCTCTGTAGTGCACTAGACCTAGATTTTACCCTTCACTAAGTAGTTGAAATTCATGAGGTGAAAAATTTAAACATTTTTATTAGATTTTTTTAGATTCTACATTATATATTATATACATTTTCAATTTAAATTTCTTCAGAGCATTTCTGAGTATAAAGCTGTTGAGTGGTAAGTCTGCATTTTATACTTTTACTGTAAAACAATATTCAAAATTGAAAATCATATACAGTATATGGTGTCTTCATGTGTCCAGTAAGGGAGCTCTTTTTTGCCCATGATTCTTTGCTTGTGGAAAACATGTAAATATCCCGCTGTGTAGAACCATTAGACAAGCTGCTGTGGAAACCAATTAGAGAAGCCATTCTCTCACCATGGTAGCAGCAGAATCCCTGCATGGTTGTCATAGCAACAGGCTTGTCTGGATGACTTCAACTGAGTGTAAAATGCAAATGCTATTTCTAAATGCAGTCTGTCAGAATTAATCCTGCTCTTTCTGCTGAATTGGTACAGTTCAGTCTTAAATTATTTGTTTTGTGTTCGTAAAATATAGGAGAAACAGCTCTTATTTATCTGCCGTGTTATTGTCTGTATTGCAACCTTGCAATATGTGTCAAAATTGGATCTCAAAATGGTAAGTGTCTGTGGCACCATACCACCACCTGTCTAAGACCACCTGTCTAGACTAGCATCTAGGCGTTACAAAGAATACATTATTAGGTGCATTAGTATTACTATCATTTGGAAATTTTCGATCTAACTTATTAAACATCAGGATTCCTTGGCTTTAAAATTAATGAATGAATGAAAAATTCAATAAATAAGTGAAGAATGAATTAATGAATGAATAAAATAATGAGAAATAATGAAATAAATGAGAGTAGAAAGAATGTAAAATAAATACTTGTTTTGTTTTTCATGTATACATCACAATTTATTAAGATTTAATCTTTAGTTTTAGTAAATTACATTTTAACATCAAGATCATTCAGAACTGGATTTTTCAACTGCAAATTTTCAGGGCTGCCTTTCTAGTTCTTTTCAGCTATAAATATATTTTTATTTTTAGGTCTAATTCTCATTTACTAACTAGATTTTTGTCTCAAACTGCGAATTTACTGCTTATTAGTAGATAGCAAGGTAGTTGTTAAGTTTGGGATAGGGTTAAGGGATCTAAAATATGGTCATGCAGAATAAGACATTAATATGTGCTTTATAAGTACTACTAATAAGGCTAATATGCTAGTACAATGCATGCTAATAAGCAACTAGTTAATAGTAATAATTTGACCTTAAAGTCTTCCCAAATATTTGAACAGAAATCGCTTTTTGTGTGTAATCTATATAAAAATATTTTTAAAAATCCTTATCCAGTTTACAATTGGAGAAGTCAATGAAATTCAGTAGTCAAAATGAGTTGGAGCCTCTTATATATACATTTACAAAGTTACTATAAGTCTACCATAATACATACAGAACATAGTCTGTTCTCTTGCAATTGAAATTATTAATTTGATGTATGTTGTGATGGCTAAGGCCACACTTAATAATTGGGCTAGTTCATTTCAATCGTTCTAGTTTTCTTTTTAATTAATTTCAATTCTTTGTAGGAGAAATTGATTTTGGTTTGTTTAAGGGATTAATTGTTTGGTTGCTTGTTTATAAATTTATATGCAGTTATTTTGTCTCTTTAACATGATTTACCCAAAACATTGTGTTAGTGGTGCATGTTGTCTCTTATGCGCGCATTAAAGATCAAAGAGCGAGACAACAATTCATTACTAGAGTGCACGCTAGTTAATTTAATAAAACCACAGCTAGACAAGATTTGGGTTAATATTTTCTTTATTTAATTGTTTGAATGATTGTGTATCTTACCCGTGGTTCTGCCAGGATCCATGACTGCAGCATGGAAGGCGTGTTATTAAAAGGGGCGCAGCATTTCCTGATGTCTTTTATATCTTTTGCTAGGAATTATGGGAAATGTAGTTTGGGTACCATATGGGTTTGGTTTGTTGTTCATTTAAATGTGTTATTATAAAGGGCATTCTTTCCAGTTTATTTTATTATTGCTTTATGGGGAATGGAATTTCATATGTTTATAGAGTTTATTTGTATATATTATATATTTATTTTGTGATATACGGTTTGATGTACTGAATTGAGACCCCTTGTAATTATAAAATGGTTTGATCTGTTTGTTAAAAGGGTGTGATTTTCCTATGGCTGAGTTAGTTCTGGTGAGGGATCCCTGGAGAAACATCTGAGGCCCAGAACTCAGTAATGTGCTGATATTGCATGTATCAGTTAGTTTTCTGTTCTTTTGGTTTTCCTGCACCTTTTGTCATCAGTACATGAGTGTGGCAGGTAATAAAATGGAAATTTGAAGACTCTATGAATGCCTCCTGAAAATTTTATGGAAGAACCCTTACATATGTGAAGATTATGCAAGGGAAATGAAATCTTCATGTCTCTATAAAATCTCAAGAAATTCGATTTTAGAATGCAAAGCAGAATTTCCTTATTTGGTATGCCATTATCACACTCATTGATGGTTTCATTACTTCAAGCCTTGCCATTCTGTGTGACAGCCTTAATTGTGTACTTATTCGCTCAAGCGCGCAGGTTTCCTCTCTGAAATTTCTCTTGTTTCTAATAAACACAGCCTACCCAAAATAGCTTCACTTGCTCCTCAGAGAGCAAATCAGCTTTGCTATGAGATGCTGAAGTCTTCATGACAGCACCAGATCAGTAAATCTCATGTGTAATGGCACATGAAGATAAGATCTAACATTATTATCATTATAACCTTTTTAGTGAGCAGAGTTTAAAAGGATAGTTCACCCAAAAATGAAAATTACCCCATGATTTACTCACCCTCAAGCCATCCTACTGTAGGTGGATATGACTTTCTTCTTTCAGATGAATACAATTGGAGTGATATTTAAAAATGTCATGGCTCTTCCAAGCTTTATAATGGCAGTGAATGGTGGTTGAGTTTTGAAGCCCAAAAAAGTGCATCCATCCATCATAAAAATCAGGGGGTTAATAAAGACCTTCTGAAGCGAAGTGATGCATTTGTGTAAGAAAAATATGCATATTTAAAACTTTATAAACCGTAATCTCTAGCCTCCGCTAACTGTCATATGCACATTCACGAGAGGGTGGCGTTCCAGCAGATGACGTAGTATGTAGGTGTTAGCGTAAGCGCCGATGAAAACTGACGAATGCGGAAGCGCAGAGGAGAAAGTAAAACAATACAACGGTCACGAATTAGAAGTACAAAAACAAGGATTTGTAAAGAAAAATTTCAATTTCAATCTCAATATAAGCCAAGAGGAGACCTTTTGGTTTTCCTTTTGCTGTAAATAAAACTTGGTTCTCGCGAGACTAGCTTATTCTCACCTTGGAAGAGCCAGGACTTTTCTTTTAATATAACTCGTCTGAAAGAAGAAATTCATATAAGAAAGTCTGAAAGAAGAAAGTCATATACACCTAGGATGGCTTGAGAGTAAATCATGGAGTAATTTTCATTTTTGGGTGAACTATCCTTTTAAGTCTTGTTCTAATGGACTTTTTAATACTACATAAATGTGGCCGTGATCTGGGTCTCAAAAATGTAAAGTGTTGGTCCAGGTCTCATCTTATGCAAGCCTGGATTTTGTTTTCCAGTATGTTTTTGTGTCTGTATCTTTTTTATGACCCTTTTGAAAAACTCTCAGCAGCTCCTGTACTTTTTGAGGACCTCAGATGTAACAAACATGTTACAATTACTCAGGCAATTGCTGTACTATTTGACGTTGCATTACTCTTTATGTAATAAATGCACTGCATTTGAAGAGATTCACATTCATTCTGATTATGCTGATTTTAGTTTTGCATTTTTGTAGGTGCCAAAAAATTGACCAATAAGGCAGCGCTATGGTATGTCCCTTTCTCCCTTCAAAACGTGGCCGAAATCATTGAAGTTCCTCCTATTGAGGTAAGAGCCTTTGCATCAGTGAAAACAATGTATTTTCTCTGAAGATTGATATTAGAACAATTTTTATCTTCTTTGTTCTTTATCGAAGTGAATATTCATGTGATTTCTCAAATGTCAAAGGTTTTGCCAAATAATTTTTCTAAGATTTGCTGACATTTCTCAATCTAGACATTTTTATTTTTTACAAACAATAACTTGTCGATTTGTCTACTAGAGTGTGTTTTTGTCCATTGCAGTACTCCAGCCCAGAACAAGAGGAAGCAGGTAAAAAGAGATATGAGGCTCAGAAATTAGAGCGATTAGAGACCAAGGAGAGGAATGGTGAGATCATCATGTCTGTCTCTCTTCCAGGTAACACTTCCTCCTTTATGTCATTACACATGCTTATCCTCACTGAACTCATGTGTTTGATGTGTTAGTGATCGCATGGATCATACCCATCAGGGTCAATATATAGCAGATGTAAAATATATACCTCGCAAAAAGTATGTACATGGCAGAACCATGGTACAGTAATGCTATCAGATGGTTCCCTTTCAGTCGGTCACTTTCGACATCACGTCGGTGACCAACGAATTGGGAATCTTGCTAGAGAAACCAATATACTTAGAGTGTAAACTAAACGAGCCAATGCACATTGGCATGCGATGATTGCATCCAGCTGCCGCTGATCTCAGCGCAAGTATAAATAGGCAGCAGGTGCAACGCATACTCAGCTTTTCGCTTCGGAGCCGAGCGGTGTGACCGCGCTCTTTGGAGCTTATTTTGTGTTGGTGGCATGGCGCTACAGCGTTGGTGGTTTCCCGTGTCGAGTGGGTTGCACACATCAGGTTGCACTACCCCCTGTTTGTGTTGCACTCAGCCATCTCTCCTGTGCGCTTCAGCACTTAAAAGAACAGTTTCAAAAAAGAGCATACATGGGTGCGTCTTTGTAAAGAAGACGGTTCGTCTTTTTAAAGATGCCGTTTCACCCGTGCGTTTCTGGATGCGGTCGTTACCTGGCACCGGGTGATGGTCACGATCACTGCCTCACATGCCTGGGCATTAAGCACACTGAGGTGGCGTTCGTGAATGAGTCATGTTCTTATTGCGGGAAGATGACCATCTTAGAGTTGTGGGCCAGGCTCCGTTACCTCGAAAGGGGCGGAGTTCCAGTGCCTCTGCCGCGATCTAGTTCTCTTCCTGTCAGAAGTCAGGGGAGGACTACTTCAGGCAGTAGCTCGGGTGGTCCGAGGGTTACAGGGGTGGCGACTTCTCTGAGGAACCAACCTCCGAGGATCCCCCATCCTCAAGCACTCTGTAACCAGCTGAGCTCCCCAGGGAACCGGCTGGGCCCTCTACAAAGAGTGTACCAGCCGTATCCTTTAGGGCTCCTCCCGACGATCGGATGTTTATCGCTGCATCAAAGGGAGAGCCGGAACTCTTTGGAGAGGAAGATCCGTCCGCGCTGCCACCCTCCGGGATGGTAGAGGGGCCGGATTCAGTACCAGTGATGACGGATATGCTTTCCTCTGCCTCCGAGAGGGTAGGGCTCGAGTGGACACCTCCACAGCAACCTCGAGGTTGGATGATTGGTTTCTTGGGGTGGCCCGTGCTGGTTCTCAGCGTCCCACTCCGGTTCAGTTCTTCCCGGAAGTGCATGAGGAGTTTACCAGGTTGTGGACGGCACCTTTTACTGCCAGAAACCGAACTGCTAGCTCCTCCTCCCTCACCACCCTTGACGGTGGTGCAGCCAAGGGGTATACGGGGTCCCCCCAGTGGAGCAGTCTGTAGCGATGCATTTGTGTCCTAATACTGCTTCCACCTGGCGGGGCAAACCGTCTCTTCCCTCCCGGGCCTGTAGGTACTCGTTTGGTCTGACCGACAGTGTTAATGCTGCCTTTGGAGAAGCTGTATCTGCCTTACACGCCATGGAGTTACTGCAGGTCCACCTGGCTAAGACACTGAAGGACCTGCACAAGGGTGTTCATGATCTGGAAGTTCTCGTGCGCCGAGCGACGAAGGCCACAGCGATGTCCACGCTTGTGGTCCAGAAGCGCCATCTCTGGCTGTGTCTGGCCGACATGAGGGATGCCGACAAAGTGTGGTTCCTCAATGCCCCCCGTGTCCCAGACCGGCCTCTTTGGTGACGCGGTCGAGAGCTTCGCCCAAGCAGTTCTCGGCTTCACAGAAGCAAACGGATGTTGCAACTCGCCCACCACCTCCTCCCTTGGAGTTAGAATCATCTGAGGTCGCTTCGCGCCGTTCATATTCCGGGTCTGCTCAACCATGCGGCCGACGAGCTGTCACGAGTTTTGCTCCCAGGAGAATGGAGAATCCATCCCCCGACGGTCCACCTGTTTGCCTCTCCAGAAACCTCTCACTGCCAGCTGTTCTACTCCCTGACCAAGGGAACATTCTGCATACTGGCACACAGCTGGCTGCGGGGCCTGCACAAGTATGTGTTTCTCCCAGTGAGCCTTCTCTGTGCAAAGTCAGGGAGGACGAGAAGCAGGTCCTGCTTGTGGCGCCCTACTGGCCCAATCGGACCTGGTTCCCAGAACTGATGCTCCTCGTGACAGCCCCTCCCTGGTGGATTCCTCTTGAGGAAGGATCTACTTTCTCAGAGAGATGGGGCACCCTGTGTTGGGGGTCTACCCATGTCCGGACCTCTGGAAACTCCATGTCTGGTTCCTGGACAGGATGTGGAGGTTCTAGGTAACCTACCCTAAGAGGTAGTGAACACCATCACTTCGGCACGAGCACCATCAATGCCTTGAAGTGGAACCTGTTTGTCGAGTGGTGTTCTCATCAAGATGACCCCGGAAGATGTCCGATCAGAGACATGCTCTCCTTCTTGCAGCAGGGGTTGGAGCGAAGGCTGTCTCCCTCCACCCTTAAAGTTTACGTCGCTGCTATTTCCACCAACCACGACCCCGTGGAGGGGAAAACGGTGGGGAAGCACGACCTGGTCATCAGGTTCCTTAGGGGGGCGAGAAGGTTGAACCTTCCTCGACCTCCCTCTATACCCTCTTGGGACCTGTCTTTGGTGCTTAGAGCGCTACTACGGGTCCCATTTGAGCCTTTGCAGTCAGTCAAGCTAAAGTTTCTTTCAATTAAGACTTTTCTCCTGATTGCATTGGCCTCCATCATCGTGCCTAGAGTTTGGGTGGCTGACTCCCAGGTAATCCTGAGGCCCCGGCCAGGCTATGTGCCCAAGGTTCCTACTACTCCCTTCAGGGATCAGGTAATGAACCTGCAAGCGCTGTACCCAGCCCTAGCTTTTCTCTGTCCCGTCCGCACTTTAAGCTTGTACGTGGACAGGACACAATGCTTCAGGACCTCAGAGCAGCTCTTGTTTGTTACGGAGGTTGGCAGAAGGGGAATGCCGTCTCCAAACAGAGGATGGCTCATTGAATAGTGGATGCCATCGCCCTGGCTTATCAGGCACAGGGCGTGCCCTGCCCTCTCAGGTTATGAGCACACTCTACTAGAAGTATTGCATCCTCCTGGGCACTGGCTCATGGCGCCTCGCTGACAGATATTTGTAGAGCTGCGGGCTGGGCGACCCCCAACACTTCCGCTAGGTTCTATAGCCTTCGTGTTGAACCGGTATCCTCCTCTGTTCTCACCTCAAACTGGTAGAAGCACCGAGAGGCCCCGGCTTAGTGTTGGCTTGCTATGTCACAAATAGTGACACTTTCCCCAGAGATTCCATACTGTAGACCCTGTCGAGCTCCTCCATCCCCTCGGCAGATGAGGTGGAATGTCTGGGGCCAGGCCCTCATTCGTTAAATCCGTGAGAACCGGTAGAGGGCTGGGTGTAGTGACCCGAGTGGATCCCATGTGTGTAAATTCCATGGTATAGTTCAGAGCCCATGTTTCTCCAGCAGACATTCTGCCATTTCCCAAGAGGGTTGAAATCACCTCTAAATCTTCCATATGCACCTAAACGGGTTCCCATATGTCTAAGTGCTTCTGAAACCTCCTTCGGGAAGGATGAGGCTTCCGCAACGTTCCTGTTCCAAGTGGAACGGGTACGTTTTCTCAGTGTTATCCAATCTCACTGAGTGGGTAGTGCTAAGACAAACAGTGACTGGCCTTCCTGCTGCGAGCCCTGGCCTATACTCAAGGGGGCGCAGGAGGCTTGCACAGGACACTGGAAGGGGCAGCATCCGTGGCGCTTTGCTAGGGATTCCCAATTCGTCGGGCACCGACGTGACACCGAAAGTGACCAACTGAAAGGGAACGTCTCGGTTAAGTATTGTAACCCTCGTTCCCTGAAGGAGGGAACGGAGATGTCACGTGCCGTCACCACAGCTGCTGTACCACCGCTAAGCGGTCACCGGCTCGCCCCTTCAGTGAAAACCTGAGTATGTGTTGCACCTGCTGCCTATTTATACTTGTGCTGCGATCAGCGGCAACTGGATGCAATCATCGCATGCCAATGTGCATTGGCTCGTTTAGTTTACACTCAAAGTAGATTGGTCTCTCTAGCGAGAATTCGTCGGTCATCGACGTGATGTCTCCGTTCCCACCTTCAAGGAACGAGGGTTACAATACGTAACGAGACGTTCTTTGATAGCATAGTACTGAATGATTAGCATACACATTTACCATCGTCTTTAAATGGTGTACCGAAAATGTACTGAAAGAAAAATTTACTGAAAATGAGGTACTCCAGGGTACTGAAAAATTATACAATGGTCTTTGTCCAAAAACATAGTGTTACCATAGTACATGTCCAAATAACATCATGGTTCCTTGGCCATTTTTTATATTTTTGTTAGTGATTTCTCTTTTTGTTGGACATTTCATCTGTCAGTAAATATTTTATGAATCGAGTCTCACCTTGATTTCATTTTGTTATTTTGCTCTGGTGCTGCACAGATAGACAAACAAAAGGTATGTATAAATATTTCTCTAAAGAACTATGAATGAATTAAGGAACTAATAAAGTTTCTAATAAAGGAACATGAAGAATACTTTTTTTGTGGCATCAGGAAACTATTTATTTATGTATTTATTTATTGCTCAGATAACAAGTTTTGTTTTTTGCTTTTATTTGCAGATCTTTATATAAAATTATATTTGTATGTGTGTATTTATTATGTTTTTCTCTTTTCTTTTTTAGAGCCCTACACTGTTGCATTTAGTCAGTCGAGTCTGATCCACCTCATTGGCCCATCTGACTGCACTCTGCATGGCTTTGTACATGGAGGTAATAAACTTATTTTTATTTATTTATTTATTGATTACCTTTATTTATATAGCACTTTATACAATACAGATTGTGTCAAAGCAGTATTACAGTAGTATTACAGCAGTATTGCACTTTACAGTGACAAACAGGAAAATAGTGCGTCAATAATGCAATAGTAAACTAAATTTTCCAGTTAAAGTCAGTTCATCATTGATTCCGTGATGTCATTGTCCAGCTCAGTTCAGTTCAAATATTATCTGTGCAATCAAGTTGACAATATTGCTAAAAATTAAGTGTCCCCATCTAAGCAAGCCAAAGGCGACAGTGGCAAGGAACCAAAACTCCATCGGTGACAGAAATGGAGAAAAAAACCTTGAGAGAAACCAGGCTCAGTCGGGGGGCCAGTTCTCCTCTGGCCAGACGAAACCACCCAATAAAGCATTATAATAATCTAACCCTGAGGTCATAAACGCATGAATTAACGTTTCTGCATTTGATATGGAGAGCATAGGTCGTAATTTATATATATTTTTAAGATTGAAAGTCACATTTCTAGCATTTGTAAAACCGCATTTTTCCAAATGCTAGAAATGTGACTTTCAAAGGTAAGATTGCTATCAAATAGCACACCTAGGTTTCTAACTGATGATGAAGAATTGACAGAGCAGCCATCAAGTGTTAGACCGTGTTCTAGGTTATTGCATACAGGGCTTTTTGGTCCAATAATTAACACCTCTGTTTTTTTCTGAATTTAGCTGTAGGAAATTACTTGTCATCCAGTTTCTTATTTACAAGAAATATGAGATCCTCGAGTCAGATGATTCTTCATGTTCCTAAAACTAGATTAAAATCAAAGGGTGATAGGGCTTTCTCAGTGGCTGCCCTATGATTATGGAACCCTCTTCCAATGCACATTAAATCTTCCCCCATCTGTGCATGCTTTTAAGTCTAGATTGAAATCATATCTTTTTAGTATAGCTTTTAAAATTGATTGATCGGGATTTTATTTTTAATTTAAATTTTTGTTTGTGTGACGATAATGATTTATGGGTGACCCTTTATCAAGTTGCTTCCCATGACAAGAATTTCAGATCAGTCACTTGTAGGGTTTAATTTCAGTTAGGAAGTAAGGCATCTTGTTTTCTAAACCTTGTGTAGTGTTTTTTCTTTATATTTTTTAATGTAGAAATCATAGTTAACATCAGTCAAATCCATTGATATCAATGGGAATAGTGCACTGAAGATGAAGAAAGAAGACAGAACTGTCTGTGGTCCAATTGGCTGAATTCCTGCTTTATTTAAATGCACAACAACTCTTTCCATGCTCTGAAATGAGCTTAGTGTCATATTGATATAAGTCAGTAGTGAAGGGAAGATCAAATCATTTTCCTGGCTTGGATCCTTAATTCTCATTCAGCAAAATGAACAAATCTTCATTCAAGTTAAATAAAAATTGTAAATTTTCAGTAGCCAATTTTTTCACACATCTACATACACAAACCTTAATTATATCCTGAATTAAGAACTCTTGATAATACCAGCCACACAGAGGAAAAAATGCCTTTGAAATTGATTTTGAAACAATTTTCACTCAAACATTGCTAGTAAAATTCTGAAATTACAAAGAAACAAGTAGCAAACTGAATTAAACATACACTTTTTAAGTATAAAAACTGAAATAGTATTTTCTTGTAAAATGTATTCCAATAATATTTGTTTTATTTAACTTCATGAAATAATTGTTTACAATGCAAAGACAAATTATGAGAAATAATTAATGATTAATTCACTATTCAATTGTGTCTTCTCGTCCGAGTTGTTCGTTCTTTTGTTATGTGACATCCGCACAATTAGTCCACCTCCTGAGTCATTTCGTTCATGATTAAAATAAAATAGCACATGTGTGGTCACAAAACAATGAATTCACACTCTGAGAGATCTTCTTAATGCTGAGTCATATAAAAGAGTCATTCAAAATGCACAAAATGTTCATGGTCAACCCATTACTAACCCTCAGTCAGACTGTTCTAGTGTAGGCAGTCATAAGACACAATACGCAGTAAAAATATTTCTGTTCTAAAATTATTCTTAGCCTCTAACTCAATCACTGCCCAGTGAAATCAATGTATTAGTCAATGGCTTAAGACAAACATTATTTCATTGCCTAACGCAGAATTTAGTTGCATATATTTGCAATGTAGAGGGTTGGCTGTAACCACCACAGCCCAATTTATACATGCATGACAAGTAGTCGACTCACTGACCTGAATGAGTTATATAAACACAAGAACATCAGCAGCACAGTCTGTGTAGAAGGGAATATTTGACACACACACACAGCTGAATCTAAACCTTAATTTTCGATCTGGAAAATGTCTCCTATCAGGCATATGTATCTAAGTAAAATCAATGTTTGGTTTTTATGCTAAGCTGCCTGACAATTGAGGTTCTAAAACTGGTATGCTGTCATTTACACACACACAAACCATTTACAATGGTCATTTACAATCCATTTATCACATGGATTAATCACATGCATGGAAGAAAGAAGAGAGGATAAAAGTCAAATGAGTAGTGGTGCATCAATAATTGAGTAACTGAGTGTGCACTAAAAACTACATCACTTACATATCAGTGAATTCAAGTTTATTTGATTCAGATGTGATTGAAGGTTGAAGTGTTTACTTTGAGTCAAACTGGCAGAAATAAACTAATTACACTGAGGTTGATTTGTGGACTGCCTGTGAGCATGCAGACAGGCATTATTGCATTGTCAGGAAAATCAGCCAGGTTTAGGCTATTGACTATTGCCTGTATCTAGCTGTTCCCCTTCAAATTCATGCTTTAAGAGCTCAATGAGAACGCAATGGTCTCCAGGGAGGCAAAATAGACACTTACCTCTTCTGAAACTTTATTCGCTGGTGGAGCTGTTGGATTGTTTTATTTTTTCTCATATTTCATAAGACTTGTTTTATTTTATCACAGTTTACATTTTCTCAAATAACCGACTCTCTTGCATCCTTGAAGAAAACACCGTTGCTAGTGACATGAACAATACATAGTCTTGAGGGTGGACAGGTAAAAAAAACTACCCTTCACACTCTAGCATCTGCTCAGCAACACCTTGGCAAACATGTACTACTCTAGTATTGTGGATGCAAGATTTGCATGTGCAAACTCCACTTTTTAAAAAAATTTTTAATTGAGGCCAAAAAAGACTGGCTGTATCTATCGTATACTGTATGCCCTTTGATTTACTTCAAAGCACCGTTTTTGTTTTAAGTTTTCATGCAAAATTCATTAAAAGAGAATCTTTTGCAAACTTTTGCACAGAATTATAATGAGAAATAACCAGTTCGTTCAGGTTCATCTATTGATCACTGTATCAATAATTAACTTTCTTTTCCATTGTCGTTTATGGGAGAACCTCCCTCTATCCCTGTATCTCTATAGCACTTTATATAATACAGATTGTTTCAAAGTGTCACAGTAATAATCAGGATAATAACAGATGCAAACTTATTAAAATATGAGACAAATTCAAATTCTGCTATAAACTCTGCTATTGTAACGGGGCTGACAAGACGTGAGACGTGCGGATCCATATGCAAGCTCTTTATTAGGAGAAGACAGAGACGTGGTCATAAAACAGGCATGGGTCAGATAATGGCAGACAGGTATATGGCGGGCAAAACACAAGAATGGTCCTAGGGCTAGCGTAGGTCGACGATCGGCAGACAGAATCACAGGGGCGAGACTAGAGGGATAAATCCAGGGAGACAGGCAAAGATCAGAACCGAGAAAACCGACAAGGCAAGGCAAAACAAGGAAACATGGGAAGGATAACAGGAACTAGGAAAACTAACAGGCAAAGTAATACTCGGCAGTGAATGGTAGTTTGAGTGAGTGATATAAAACGGAAGTCCATGGACCGAATTCGTGACAGAGCCCCCCCCCCCAGGAGCGGGTTCCAGACGCTCCAAACACTAAACGATCCAGGTGGGCGGTGAATGTAATGGAAAGTGTGACCTCTGGTGGTGAATAAACGGAAGTCCATGGACCGAATTCGTGACAGCTATAAAGTCATTATTCAGCTCAAGTCAGTTCAGAGTTGATTCAGTTGGGTTTAATAACTATTTAAAGTTAATCAATTATGAAATGTTCAATTCAGCTATAAGCAGCTCTACGGAAGCTGTCATCATTTTTGTATCATAATTTTAATGTAAGTACATAGTAGTTAAAAGTACATAGTAGTTAAAGACACCTAATATAATGTAGGACAGAACAGAAAGGACAAAAAATGGTTTAAAGACACTGAATATTCAGGAATATTATCAATTTGACTGGATGAGGAACAAAACTTGAACAGAATTTATTGTTTTCTGTAGAGCTTCTTTATAGCGGAATCTGATTTGTTTCATTATTGATACATTTTGCAACATTGTTATTAAACTGGATTGAGTCAAAGTTGAACTGACTTGAGCTTTATAATGACTCTATTACCTTCTGTAGAACTGAACTGAACTAATTGACTGTAGCTGAATAATGACACTATTCTCTGTTTAGAGCTGTTTTACAGCATCATTTTAATTTGTCTCATAAGAAGTTTCCATTATTGATTCTGTTATCTGAATCTCCCTAATAGTTTTCCCTGAAAGTAACATTTGCTGAAAATGTAGTCACCCTCAGGCCATCCAAGATGTAGATGAGTTTGTTTCTTCATCAGAGCAGATTTGGAGAAATGTAGCTTTACATCACTTGCTCACTAATGGATCCTCTGCAGTGAATGGGTGCCGTCAGAATGAGAGTCCAAACAGCTGATCAAAACATCACAATTCACACGACTCCAGTCCATCAATTAACGTCTTGTGTAGAGAGAAAAGCTGTGTGTTTGTAATAAATCAAATCTACCATTAAGATGTTTTTAACTTCAAACCATTACTTCCAGCTAAAATACAATCCCTCTATCCACAATGTTTTCTCCAGTGAAAAAGTAATCGTGTTTCAAACAGGAGATAAATATGCACTATGATATAAGCAAATAAGCTATGTTTACAAGCCAAAACAGTACAAAACATTTCTAAACAAAAATGTCAGTGGATTTTGATATGAGAGGACAACAGGGGATGGACGTTTTTTCACTGGAGGAAGTGTTATTATGAATTATGGACTCGTATTTTGTCCAGAAGTGACCATTTAAAGTTAAAACCCGTTGATGGATTTATTACAGACATACAGCTTTTCTTCACAAGATGTTAATTGATGGACTGGAGTGGTGTAGATTACTTGTGGATTATTGTGAAGTTTTTATCAGCTGTTTGGTCTCTCATTCTGACGGCACCCATTCACTGCAGACCATTCATTGGTGAGCAAGTGATGAATACTGCTGAATTCCTCTAAATCTGTTCTGATGAAGAAACAAACAAAATGCCATCTTGGATGGACTGAGGGTTAGTAAATATTCAGCAAATTTTCATTTTTGGGTGAACTATTCCTTTAAGTTTTGGCAAGATTTTAAAAAGGAGCTTAAAATAATGCCTAAGTAGCTTTTTGGTCATGAAAAGTTGTTTCGGAGGTGGAGCAAAAAAGTTCAACTGGACAAACATTACATGTTTTTCACGATTCACCAGGGCACGTTCTAAATAATGTGAATCATACATAACAGGCTTGTAAATGAAACTGAATAATCAATTAAATAAGGTCCATTGACTTCATGATGACTTCAAAGGCAAAACATGTACATCTAATTAGAGCACTCATTTGGGGAGTAGGACTAATTTGAAAGATCCCGTTTTTAATGTCATCTAAGGTTTGCTCAAAATGGGAATGTAATAATCTTTATCTAACACTTTCAGAGGATTTCTTTGAACATTTGGTATAGTGAGCTATAAAACTGATAAACGCAAATAGTTTTCTCCTAGATTAGACACTCTTAATTTACTCTTAATACATCAGTCTTCTTTCTCTTCTGTACTAGGCCTGTAGCATCTCAAACCTGTTGGTGTGTGTGTGTGTGTGTGCGCGCGCAAGTTTGTGCACCAGTAAAAACATCAGGGATAATGAATGTCTCAATTACACCGAATTATTATTCTGCTAACAAGCAACGTCCAGGATAGAAAACACTGAAAAGCCTCCCGGCTGAGCTGGATCCATCAACAGCAAATGTTTGTTCTTATCGTCTCCTGCACTCATCTTTCCCCCACTGTTTCTGGCTAATGATGTTCTTGAGGATGGAATTATGGAGGCTCAAATTGATCTAATTCATTTGCCCTTGCTGAATACAGAAGATTGGTTCAAAACAAATTGAGCCATACTGAGGTAATTCTGTTAATGGTTTGTTGAAAAGGACAGGAGAGGTGACTCCAGGGGTGACAGTTTAATTTTTATGTAAGATGATAAAGTGAGATAATAAAGTGATTTGAGTCATAAAGTGAGAGTTGAATGAAGGTCAGGGAATAAGCAAGTGAAACCTATCCTAGGCAATAAATGTGTTTAAATGTTCATTGCTTGTTAAGAGTGTCACTCAACACATAAGGCTATAAAGTCTTCTTAAAGGAGATGTGGGCAGTTTATTTTTTCCAACGTTAAGATAGAGATATTCCACCCCAAAATTAAATTTTCCCTCATTGACTCACCCTCATGCCAGTATATTACTTTCTTTCTTCAGAAGAACAAGATTTATAGAAAAGTAATCCATCTCTGTGAGTCCATATAATGCAAATGTATGGGACCCAAAAGTTTCAAAAACCACACAAGTAATCCATATGACCCCAGTTGATGAATTATTGACTTCTGAAGCAAAACATTAGGTATGTGTTTGAAAAATGCTAATATTTGAAATTTTTTAAACCGTAAACCATCATTTTGGCCAACTGTCATATGTGGGTTCATGAGTTCACACTTGACTTAAACATCAGCACATTGTGAAACTCGCATGAGAAGTTATGGTCCTCTGTGATCCTGCTTCACTTCTGGGGTGAGCTTCAGAATACGCTGTCGTAGCATTTCACAAAGCTCTCATAAACCTGCATATGTCAATTGTCAGTTACCTCAAAGTGATGGATTATAGTTAATAAAAACATTTAAACTACTAGTATTTTTTAACTTACACATCCCTACTGTTTCGCTTCAGAAGATATTGATTCATCAGCTGGAGATGTATGGTTTACTTTTGTAATGGTTTGTGTGGTTTTTGAAGCGTCAACTTGGAGCCCCATCGTCTTGCAATTTATGGACTCACAGCGAAGAATTTTTTTACAAAAAATCTTTGTTCATCTGAAGAAAGAACCTCATATGCACCTGGGACGGAGGGTGAGTAAATGATGAGAACATTTTTGGATGGCGCATACCACTAAATCCAAAGTTTTGACATGAATGATTAGTGTCTGCATATAGGCAAACATACCATTTTAAAGTACTCCATTAGTTTGCTTGCGGTTGATGCATGCGGACTAGAAGCTTTTTATCTTTGTCCAGTGTCTGTAGCACTTTCTGGAGGTTTGACTAATAAAATGCCTAGTACTTAGTCCTGCATTGATGAGTTTTGTTTTGTTTCGTCAAAACCTGGAAATGAGGTAGCATTTTAGTACTTCCGGTTCTTTTGCACAGTGTGACAAAAACAGGCTTCATTTTCATTTTTTTTCCTTTTATATAAAACAGCAGTAACAGAAATATAATAAAGGACGCCATTGTTAAATAATAATTAAAGGTATAACAATATGAATCACTGCTTTCAATTTTATTATACTTCATAAGTATAACTAGGTGACATTTTTGATGGATCAGAATTTTGTTGGTTTAGGTGTTTTTTTGTTTTTTTCAGTTCAATCAGTCCTACGAGCAGACCAGTGCAAGAGAAAATAAAATTTCCTCCCAAGCTCTCTCTCACAGCTGTCTGTATGCAAGGACGTTTGGCTTACACACATGCGCACACACTCGCTCTCTGCCTTCACCGTCTGTTTCCACGTCTGCTTTTCCCCATTGCGCATGATGAAAGCAGACCAAAGCTACTGAATATCCTGAATGGATTTCTAAAGGATCAGAGACAGGCTGTTTGTCAGAGGGAAGAGGGAGGTCCTTGGGTTTGCGCCTGACCCTTGGCAACCTCTGTTGCACGACAATATGACAGCTGTGATTTCCCTCTTTGATATGGAACTGTCCTTTGGCCTCCATCTAAGTTCCTTCTTAATAGTATGTATCTCATTCATAACTTGCCTGGCATTCAAATTAATAATTTTACTTTGGTTGAAGATGCATTCTCTTTTTTCTCCCCTTTCCTGTGCTGTTAAATGAACAGTTCATTCAGAAATGAAAAGTCAGTCATCACATCTGCATATTGTTCCAAACCCATAAGCTGTTATCTTTTTTTCTCTGCAATAGAAAAGGGACTATTTTGAAGATTATTCAGGCTGCCTTTTTCCATGCCACAATTGTTCTTAGTGACCACAGCTGTAAAGCTCCAAAAATGAAAAAAAAAAACAGCCTCATATCATAAAAACTTTTAATTTACTGAAAATCTTCCTTTACTCATAACTCACAAATCTCGTTATAAAACTTCCACATATGCAGATCTAAAAACCATTGCCGAACAATGCCGTCATTAATGAGATTTGTGAACTACTGTGAAAAATGTTTAAATTTAAGAATTGTAAATCCAAATTTAAATTGAATTGATCACAACACATAGGAAGTTGAATTGGAATTTGAAAGGGCAGTCAGTTGGATTTACATTTACATTTAGTCATTTTAGGAGACACTTTTATCCAAAGCGACTCACAAATGAGGACAATAGAAGCAATCAAAACCAACAAAAGAGCAATAATATGTAAAGTGCTGTGACAAGTCTCGTTTAGCCTAATGCAGTACACGTAGCAAGGTATTTTTTTGTTTGTTTGTTTTTTTTATAATAAAAAGAAAAACAAGTATATAGAATAGAAAAAAAATAGGTAGTGTTAGAGGGTCTTTTTTTAAATAAAAATAAAACATGTCAAAAGAATAGAAAAAGAATAGAGAATGCTAGTGTTAGTGGGCCATTTTTTTAAATAAATAAAAAGAAAACAAGAAGACAGAATAGAAAAGGAAGATAATGCTAGTGTCAGAGGCTCTCTTTTTTAAAAGAAGACAAGTAGTAAGGATATAAATAGAATTGAGAGTGCAAGTGTTAAAGGGTCATGTTTTTTTCTTCTTTCAATTAGAATAGAGAGTGCTAGACTTAGAGGAGCAAATGAAGATGGAAGAGATGTGTTTTTAGCCGTTTCTTGAAGATGGACTCAGCTGGTCGGATTGAGTTGGGCAGGTCATTCCAGCAGGAGGGAAAAGTTCATTTAAAAGTCTGTGAAAGTGATTTTGTGCCTTTTTGCATTTACATACAGTTATAATTCAAAGAAATTCCTTATTTGGGAAATAAAGTGTTCTTTATTTTTAAGTGTCCACCATTGTCCATTAATCTACAGCCTAAAATTCAGAGTTTGTCTTAACTTTATCTATTAAAAAGGAAGTTCATCACTTTTCACCACTCTTCACTGCAACTCTGCTTCCTGTTTTCTAGCTCAGTGAAAATTCAACTCAAATTAGTAAAGTGAATTGTAATTCAAAAAGGAATTCTCAATTCAGTTCTGAACGGCAAACAGTCTTGCTGCGGAGTGCAAGCTTTCCATAAAAAACTTCTCTGATGTGTTCTTCAGGCAAAGCTGGTATGTGACCACTTTTATGGTGCTTTGTTGGTCATTTTTTAAACAGTCAGGAAATGAGCAGCTCGGACATTCTGCCTACACTCTTAAAAATAAAGGTGCTTCAAAAGGTTCTTCACAGCGATGCCATAGAAGAACCATTTTTGGTTCCACAAAGAACCATTCAGTCAAAGGTTCTTTAAAGAACCATCTCTTTCTTACCTTTTTATAATCTGAAGAACCTTTTTTCACCACAAAGAACCTTTTGTGAAACAGAAAGGTTCTTCAGATGTTAAAGGTTCTTTATGGAACCATTTAGACAAAAAGGTTCTTCTATGGCATCGTGAAGCACCTTTATTTTTAAGAGTGTAATATCACATTTCTAGTATTTTTTTCTTTCTTTTTTTATCAAAAAAAAAAAGGTCATATGGGTTTGGAACAACATGAAGGTGAGGAAATTATGACAGATTTTTCATTGTGGGTGAGCTGTTCCTGTAAGGACACTTTCTGTGTCATTTATTCCTCAAATAAACAGAGTTGGTGCTGCTTTAAACAACACTTTTGAATTAGAAGGTAAGATAGTGTGCTTGGGTTCTTAAGAGTGAAATATGTGGGGGCTGAGAGAAGATTTAAAAAAAATTCAAAGCTCATTTGACTTTGCTATGTGACAGGTTGCTATGAATAGCTGTCTTGTGTAGGCATTGTGCTCAGGATCATGTTTTCTCATCTTTTAAAGGTTTGGTAGAATCTGAATCTGTCATGGCCACAGTACACAGCTCTCACAGTCTTCAGTGCTTTCACATGTTCCCATGTTACCTGTAGAGGGGTTTGGCTGACAAAAAAGTTTAGAAAAGCCTGCTCTAAATGAATGAAAGACTGAACATTTTTGATCAGTTTGTGAATATTTTATGTGACAGCTCACTTTAAGCTAAATGCAATATAAATGTTTAATGTTGTCTTAAAAATAAGGTTATAAAGCAAGATGAAGATGTAAGATTACTTCATAATCCAGATTGTTGAAGTGCTGGTCTAGTGGCTATTTAGGATCTAAATATGGTCATATGAGATCATAGAAAAACACAGACTGAAAGAGCTGCCAGCTGAATCGTGGGGGCCAGAGCGATGTGTGTTTGGGGACGAGAGAGTATGTGTGTTACTGGACAGAGATGAAGAGTGTGTGTGTGTGAGGAGAGGAGGCATCGATAAAACTAACAGATGGGTGCATGAATGCATCTGGATTTCCTCCAGCAGGAAAGATTATAGAGTGCAGACAGGTTACATCTATCACAGATCAAGTGTGAGTGTGTTTATATCTGT